GGTGGGTTTCAACTGCTGACCTTGTGGCTCACATTCCAGTGCTGATCCTACAGCATCACATCAGGAATCATGGGACATATTAAATTTGAGGAAAATATAGTGATGCTTGGCAGTTACTGAACACGGAGACAAAAGCAAAGAAGCAAAGTCATGATGATTGTCCTCATGGAGTTAACAGTAGAAGAGACAGCTGTGTCAAGAAATAATGATAGTACAGTATGATCAGTGCAATTCTAGCTGTGCTGTTAGATGCCTTTGAGTTGGTTCTGACTCACAGTGACCCCATGTACAACAGAATAAAACACTGCCTGGTCCTACGGCATCCTTACAATTACTGTTATGTCCGAGACCATTGCTGCAGCCACTGTGCCAATCGGTAGCTCATTGGGAATCTTCCTCTAGCTGTAGATACACACTACCTAGAAATAGCTAGGAAGCAATTAGAATACTTTATGGTAGGAGTGTTGAGTTGCAAGAGGAAGAAAGACCAAGTAGTTAGGATGGCTTCAGAGAGGACGTGCTAGCAATGAACATGTACTGAATTATTTTATAATTCTGACGTTAGGTTGAATCTGATGATCCTGTTACAAATGCAAGGATGACATATAATTTATTATATGGAACTTGCAGCTAGCAACTGTGCTTTATAAAAACTTTCCCAAGAAGGCAACTATTGTTAAGTGCTGTTGAATCGGCTCTGACTAACAGGGACCCTGTGAAGCAGAGATGAGGAACCTCTTTTCTGCCAAAATTTGTAACATCATTCACAGACCATACAAATTATCAACTTAAAAATTAGCCTGTTATATTTGGTCAAATATTTAATTAAGTCACCCCTAATGTGATGGTAGCTATGAGTTGGAACCAACTCCATGGCACATAACAACAACAACAATTACAATGTGATGGCTGGTGTGGCGCTGCGGGTTAATGTACTGGACTGCAAGGTCGGTATGAACCGGAAAGCTCACCAGTTGCTCCTAGGAAACCCTATAGAGGGTTGCTATGGGTCAGAACCGACTTGACGACATTTAACAACAGCAATGTTATGGCAGGGCCAGCCCAAATGATTCTGAGGGCCTTGTATGGACTGTGGGCTGGATGATCCCCACTCCTGATGTAAATGGTTTCCAAGGAGTGGGTGGTGGGTTTGAACAATCAACTTTGAGGTTAGCAGTCCAGTGCTTATCCTACAGAGCCACACCATTAGGAGGTAGAAATTGAATAGTTTTAAGGAGGATGAAATATTTTTAAAATGGTAATATTCGCTTACATATAGAAATAAGTGTTACAGCCTAACTCCTAAAACAAGGTACTGATGAGTAGGAAGTAGCAACTCTGGGCTTAGAGCCATAGGGTGCTCTGGAGAACCAACTTTAACATTTAAGTCTAAAGATGGATGGGGAGCAAGAAGGAGAAATGACATTCTCCAGTTCCTCTCGCAGCCTTCACACCCTAATTCCCTCAGAGGCTAAACTGGGTGGAAAGGGCTTTGAAAATGCGTTGTTGTTGTTACTTCTTCCTTCAACTTTCAGGCTGACAGAAACTGCTGCAAGGAAGACTTGGCACTGCTTCTACAATCATCTCTAGCCAGATCTGCCGCATGGAATCCATCAGCTGTTGCTAAGATATTCCATTCTTTCTGACAATGGATGGAAAAGGTTCAAACAAGAAGATGGGAGCCAAAGACTGAAGGAGGAATGAATGAATGGGACAGTGGGAACTATTTTTTCTTTCTACATGTTTAACCCCAGAGAGGAAGATCCCCAAGGAGATGGACTGACGTAGTGGCAACAACAATGGGCTCAAACATAACAACAGTGAGGATAGCAGAGGACCAGGCAGGGCAGTGCTTCATTCTGCCTGTGCTTAGGGTCACTATGAGTCAGAACTGACTCGACGGCATGTAACCACAACAGCAAGCCTAAGGACAACTCAGTATTTCTCATTCTGTCAGCTACAAACTAAGTTCTATAGGAGTTCAGTTATGTCTGACTTATTATGTTTTTTTGAAAGGCATTTACCATTTTCCACCATGAATTATCACTACAGAAGATACACCTAACACACACTATCCAGATGAGACCACGACAACCCTGCTTTTACATTATAAAGTATTAACTATACAAGTCAAGCTCAAGAGAGACTTTGCAAATTAAATGAATCTAAATCATCAGTTTAAAAATTGTGGCACATTAAACTGAAGACAGTGGTAAATATAAAACTAAGAGTAAACACTGAATTCTATCCCCAAGATTGTAACTCAAAGGGAACATATGAGCAGGTTTGTAAGCTTGCTGATGAATGTGCAGGTTTACTTGTGAGTGGAAGTGAGGGAAAGGCAGTAATGAAGACATGGGCTGAGTTTAACTATGTTCCATAGACTCCTGTTGACCTTGAGATGAAAGAGAGAAGAGGAAGGGCTGGTTGGTCTGAAGTTTAGGGAGACTAGGAAACTCCTGAGCCCATGGACAGGAACATAGCCATGGGGGGTCTAGAGCTGAGAGTGAAGTGTCCAGCTGATATGAAGTGGTAGGAGATGCATAAGAACACCCAAACTTGCAAATAGTACCCACTTGCCCTAGTTTGGATAGCTTGATGATCAGAACTCCATTAGAGGAAGATGAAGAAATTTGATACAGGAAGCAAGTGTAAATTGCTAACTTTGATGAACTTGACCTTTACTTATGGATGTAATAGCTCAAAATACCAACTGAGAGGAAAGGAGTCTTCACATTAAGGATCAAGCCTATCCCCTCAGTACATAGGGTTGATAGGGACAGGTAACTCAGACACTGGCTACTTAACATGAGGTGGGGGCTGTAAAGGAATGAAGTGGCTGTCTTACAAGTTTTCAAGAGGGAGTTTAGCTTCCGAGCAAGAGAGAGAAGGGACAATACCCACGGAATAGTTTTCATCTTGTCTCGATGGGTATGGTGAAAGGAGAAGGGGATAATATTTTCTGATTCAACAGTGAGTAATAGTTATCATGATAATTGTACAACTGTAAAGATAGAAGTTCTGTAGCAAAAAGGGGGAGTAGTTAATCTTTACATTCCAGGAACAAATGACCCTAGGACCATCAAGAGGAAAGAACAGTGGTCAGTGTGGTACATGAAGGGCATTGCAATCACTGCAATGAAGCAAAGTGTGATTGGTTGAGTGCAAAACCAATTTTCTGCAATGCAAAGTATCACTTAATTAATAATAAAAGCTTTAAAAAACAACAACACCTAAAAATTAAAAAAAAACTGAATTCTACCAAAGAGAAGTCTCCTTTTCAAATTACATTGCCAGAAGCCAGAAATAATTTTATTTTTATTGTTAGCTGCACCACTATCTCCAGATAAACTTCCAGGTTCATCACATGAATGACAGATGGGTTAAGGAAACAGAAACAAGGTCATGTAAAATCAAATAATAAGTTCCTGAATTTAAATGACTCAGAAATGTTCAATTCAATAAAAGGAACCCTTTATATTTTGTTTGTTTTTGTTATAATTTCTGCAATATAGAATTCATTCTTAGTTTGTTTTAGCACACATTATGTAGTTGAAATATTAAATGCTGACCTTTGATTGTAATCAGCTTGGTTTGATAAGATTCAGTTGAAAGTCCATACACATCAATTCCTAGCTGTGCCCCTCAGTCTTTAACACTTGTGTGGAATTTTCATTTTCTGGCTCTGGTTGCAGTTCATAAGCAACAGGCTGTTGTGTTCTCTGGCTTAAATTTTAATCTTAAATGCCACTTGTTGTTGTTAAGTGCTGTCGAGTAGGCTCTGACTCATAGCGACCCAGTATAGAGTTTCTGCAAGCCAGCCTCCTACCTGCCAGTACATAACCTTTCTCTTTCCATGAGTCTAGAGTCCTCAGCTGCTTTCTCTCTCCATGTCATCATCTCTGCCTCCATCTCTGGTGTCGCTGGAATAGCTGCTGGTAGGTTTGAACCACCGATCTTGTGGTTAGCAGTCCAGTACATATCCTACAGCATCACACCAAAACTCCTAAATGTCACCAATTGTAGGAAAACATACTGTAACAAAGTTTTCTTTCTTTAGTGATCTAGAACTACACATAAAAGTTTCTTTGAGGCATGTTATCTAAGATTCATGGAGTAAAGGGAATTCTCTGGACTTCAGAGTTTGTATTATGATTTTAGAGCCATCCAATAATGTTGCTTCCAAGCCCCTCAGTTACCTGGTCCTACAGAATTCAAGACTCAGAACACATTGGGCATAGGAAAAAACAAAATAAATAACCAACAAACAAAAATCCTCTCAAGCAAGCAAGTAAGCAAGCAAACAAAAACACCCAAAACCAAACCAAAACACATACTTCATAATATCAAGTCCTGACCAAGCACTGATGGCAAATTAAGACCGACGTGACAGTAATGGAGAATTTTCAAAATAGTCGAGCACCCAAACATTTTTAACCTCTTACAAATGTTTGCCTTCCATGGCTGATTTAACTTATAATTATGTAGTGAGTTCAAGAATCAACTTTTGAAATAGTTGGGAGGGTACAAGAAAGGACAATGTCTGACAATTACAAAGTAGAAAATGCGCTTCATAAATGGGCTTTAGAAACTATGTTTTATAAAAGGAAAGATGGGGGAGATTCACAACTGTCACTCAGCTGCCCTCCTTGAAGGACTGTGTGCTTTCAGCTTTCCTTAAATGCACATAACTACACAGGGAGGGAATTACAGCCTCTATTCAAGGCAGATTAGTTGGGTGGGTAAGAGTTAAAGGTCTTTCTTGGGGATAATGCAGTGTGTTCTAGTTGGCTAGCCGGAGGCTCTGCCTGAGTCACAGCACACTGAAAATCAGTGTTGTCACACCCTTTCCCTGCAGAGGACCAAGAATTTCCTGCCTGCAGAGCACAGAGAAGCACATTTCTATCCATTTTCTGCTCGCACATGGAACTGGAGGGAAACTGTACTCCATAACTTTATCCATTTGACACCATTTGAGACCTGGGACTCAGGTCTTCAAAATGAAAACGCTCATCTTTGCAGCGGCTGGACTGCTGCTTTTGCCGCCCACTTTCTGCCAGAGCGGTAAGTTCTTTGTTTATGGGGTGGCTGGGGTGTGTGTGTTTGTTTTACACGTTGAGTCCACTGAAACGAATTTTTCTTTGCATTTCCCATAAACTACAAACCCAAAGTCAGCACTGGGTCTTAGCTATTAAGTGGTGAAATCTTGGCAGTATCTATAACTTGTTCAATCTATTTCAACCTGGTCACAGACTCAACGTTCCCCAATCAAGATGTTTAATATCCACGCTTCATTTACACCTCATTCAGCAGTTCTGGTGTGGCGCTGTAGGTTAATGTGCTAGACTGCAAAGTCTGTTTGAACTGCAAGGTCGGTGGTTCACGTTCAGTAGCCTCTCCTCAGAAACCCTATGTAGGGTTGTTATGGGTCGGAACTGACTTGATGGCCCTTAACAACAACACTTCATTCAGAAATGAACTTTCTCTGTGAGATGTTTATAGATATATATTTTGATCATTAAGAATTTCCTGATTCAGCCAAGACAGTATTTTCTCAAGGGATAAAAAGAAAAATCCTACATTTATAACTTCTGGTATAAACAAAATAGGCGTGGAAGGGGGCAGGAATATCTCTAGACAGAACAACTCATCTGTTTTCAAATGCCAGGGATGCTAATAATAAATTAGTGTTTCCCAAATGACATTCTTTTTGACTTTCAGTGGTAGTAGTTCTCCCGCCCTCAGATACAAGTACGTATGCATTTTTAATTCTAGAAAAAACGATCTCCGGAGAGCCCTTCTTCAACTGTTAATGATTTTCCTATTTCACTTTTAACAATGTTAGCTTGTAACCGGCTTACTCCCAAATAAGCAAATCTGTGACTGGTCTGTACCCACAACCTTCTACTGTTAGGGCATCTTCAGTCAAAGTTGTTAGGAGTTGGAAGACTACAATGAGAAAATACCATCACCAGGCTCGTAAGGAGGGCAAGAGTTGGAAATAATAGTGGAAATTCCAGAGGTTACAGGGAAGCTCTATGAGAATCTGCAGACAGTATTAGCACATGTGAAATCTATGAATAGTGGTGGTAATGTGCCGTGGAATCGGTTCCAACTCACAGTGACCCTGCACAGGGTTTCCAAGGCTGTAAATCTTTGTGGGAGCAGAAAGCCTCATCTTTCTACTGTGGAGATACTGGTAGTTTTAAACTGTTGACCTTGAGGTTAGCAGCATGACTCCTAACCACCACACTACCAGAGATCCAGAGATCCTGGAATCCATGAATAGGAGAGGTTTAAGTGCTCTTTAGGAGCCAAATGCTGCGGAGCAAAAGAAGAGAGGTTTGTGGAGGTGGTTCTCTCAAGATGCTAGTGGGCTTTGGTGGACTGGAAAAGAAGGGAACCTAAAGGGACAAAGTAAATGAAAACACAAAAATGTGCCTTCTTCGACTAAGGTGGGGGGAATGTGAGCAATTAAGGAAGGAATCATTATCTCATGGCTGAATTCTAGATTAGGCCTCTTCTGACTTTGAACTAGCTCCCCAGCTTTTTCTCAGACAGAAAAATATATTTCAGAACCATCATATCAAAGCAAAACCTGTATAAAGAATCCAAATAAAGTTTTTCTTTTTAAAGACAAAATTTAACAATAAGTGATATTTTCAGGAAAACTTGGCTCTAAGGCATAAAGCCTTAGTTAAGCTGAACCAGATCTGGAATTCTAGTAGAAAATGGAATCCCATCAACTTTTCACCAACACAGTGGTTGTTTAGTATTTGTTTTTAGGCACGGAGTCTTGCTCAATCAGAGGAATTTCTGTAAACAGACAAGCACTTGGTTTCTGAAGCTCTCCTATCCAATCCTGAAGGGAAATGACTTGTACAGTGTGTTGTTGTTGTTGTCAAGTGCTGTTGAGTTAGTTCTGACTCATAACAACCCTGTATAGGGTTTCCAAGGAGCAGCGGGTGGGTTTGAACTGCTGACTTTGTGGTTCACAGTCCAGGGCTGAGTCTACAATGCCACATCATCAATTTCAGTTTTCTGTCTACCAATAAAGGCACATCTTGGTGGGTGCAGTTAGGTTGCAAGAACGTTTCCAAAATCAAAAACCCTTGAAAGGATTTCTGAGGATGAAAGCATGTCTCACACAACATGCCTTCAAAGATCTGCACAGAAGAATGCCACCACCCCATTTTCCGTAATGGAGCCACCTTTCCTTAAGTAACATGGATCACCCACATTCCCCAGCTTATTCAGGCAACATTCTCCTCCTGTGTTATACATGCTGAGTTCAGTTGTGCAATCTCAAGGTTATGAGAGGCTTCAATTTCACCCTGGGGCTGACTGCTAGAGATGAAAGCAGGAAAAGAAACTAACTCTGAATGAGAAACAGGCTACTAAACCCTAACCTCAAAAAATCTACAAGGAAGAATTCAGAGGTCACATGCAAAGTGGGAAAGGGAAGAACAGTGACACCTTTAATCAGAAAGTATGAACTTATATTTGGTATTGAAGTCCAAACTAGAAATTTAAGAGATCTATTTTCCATACAGAGTCTATACACTAGATATTGCAAATGGTTAAGGCCCTCAGTAAACTACAAGGCTGGAGGTTCAAGTCTACACAGAGGCACCTTAAAAGAAAGGCCTGGTGATCTCCTTCTGAAAAACCGGCCAATAAAAACTCTACGGAGCACACATGGGCTCACCATGCATTGGAATTGACTTGCTGGCAACTGAAATTTTCTATACATGTCAAAGATAAATTAATGGAAAAATTGTATAATGATAAAGAAAACAAGTTTGAACTTTCAAGCTTATTTTGTTTTTGAAATTGTCTTTTCAGGAATTAGTTTTACTAATATCCATTAATGTTGTTGTTAAAGGCCACGGAGTCGATTCTGACACATAATGACCCCGTGTAGGGTTTCCAAGGAGCAGCTGGTGAGCTTGAACCACTGAACCTATAGTTCAAATGACTTTGTAGATGGACTGCCAACCACAAGATTGGCAGTTCAAACTCACCAGTAGCTCCTTGAAAACCCTATACAGGGTCACTATGAGTCAGAACTGACTTGGTGGCACTCGGTGGCAACAACACATGCAAAGTAATGCTAAATACTTAAAGTATGTGGCAGATGTGTTTCTATGTTCCTAAAATTCCTGTCTAACTTCAAAGGTGTCATATTGACTTTATCTTTTTCTATTTCTCAAGGGCTCCTTTCCCCTTGAAATCGGGCATTGTCCCAAAAGTTTAATTTTAGATTTTTCTCATATCTCTACCTAGACTATCTCAACTAATTCTACCAAATTAAAACTACAACTTTTACGCAGATTAATTAAACCCATATCTCGAATTTGGGCTCCTGTAATTTGGGGCTCTTATACTTAGTCTTCCAACCTGTTGCTGGACATCTTATACCTTGCTTCAAGTCCTGGTGTGGTGCTGTAGGATAAGTACTTGACTATAAGGTCCAATTGACTTTATAGTCAAGTATTGCAGGGTGGTGGTTTCAAACCCACCAGTCACCCTGGGAACCCTATACAGGGTCACTATGAGTCAGAACCAACTCAACAGTATTTAACAACAATCCCACCTGCAACTCATACTTACTAATATTAAAACCAGGGATTTAGCTTCTCCCCAGTCTTGTTTCTGGTCGGGCTCCCCACACCTCAGTGAACGGCAGTCTCCTCATGCAAGCCATCCCGAGCCAATCATGAATCACTTTTGCCTTCTGCACTCCATCATCGTCCCCAGCATCAATCAGATGACCAACCCTGTAGAATGCCCATCACCGAGTCTCTCAGGTTCACCTCCTTCCTTTCCACTTAAACCCCAAACCAAGCCCATCACTATCCAGTCGATTCTGACTCATAGTGACCCTCTATAGGGTTTCCAGAGCTGTAAATCTTTACTGGAGCTGAGAGCCTCATTTTTCTCCTATGGAGCTGATGGTTGGTTTGAACTGCTGATCTTACTATAAGCAGCTCAGTTTTTATCCTATAGCACACTGCCAGCATACAACAGCCTCTAAATCAGGCCCTTCTTGCCTCTAACTTTCCAAAGTATTCTTTACAACTGTAAACCAGAGTCATCTTCAATACAAGTCAAGTCATGAGTATATGAGTTTCCTGTAGCTGCTACAACAAATTACCACAAACTGCATGGCTTAGAACAACAGATTTATCATCCTACAATTCTGAAGGTCAGAAATCCTAAAATCAAGATGCTGGCAAGGGCTGCCTTACTTCTGGATGCTCCAGGGGAGAATGTGTTGTCATTTTTAGCTTCTAGATGTTGCTTGGGAGTCCTGCTGTGGTGCTTTAGGATAAGTGCAGGATTGAAAGGTTAGTGGTTCGAACCTACCAGCTGCTCCTCAGAAACCCTATATAGGGTAGCTATAAGTCGGAACTGACTCAACAGCACTTAACAAGTGAATTGCCTACATTCCTTTGCTCAGGGTCCCTTTATCTAGCTTCAAAGTCAGCAGTGTAACATCTTCAAATCACTCTCTTGGGGTGTCACCCACCTGGCTCCCTCTTACCAGGACCCTTGTGGTTACACTGGACCCCTAATCCAGAAAATCCAGGACAAGCTCCCCATTTCAATCTCCTGAACTTAATTACACCTGCAAAGTACCTTTGGCTATGTAAGGTAACTTATTCACAGGTTTTAAGGACTAAGAGTCCTAATGGGGTGCTGTAGGCTAAAACACTGGACCACAAGATCAGTTTGAACCACAAGGTGACTGGTTCAAAGTCACCAGCCATTCCTTGGAAATTCTATACAGGGTTGCTGTGAGTCAGAACCGACTCGATGGCACCTAACACAACAACAAGGACTAGGATGTGGACTCTTCATTTTTCTGTTGAAAACTTTTTATGTGTAAATCTCTAAAAGTTATGAATAAGCACAAGATTTCTTAGGAAAGTTCAGAAGATATTCAGGAATTTGGCAGTAATCTACTTGTTCAATCTCATCTCCCCAAACATACTACATTTATGCGTCTGTCCGATACCCTGAAACGTATGTAAAGATTGGGATGCTGTTGTTGTTGTAAAATGCTATAGAGTCAATTCCAACTCATAGACCCTATGCACAACAGAACTAAACACTGGCAGGCTCAGCACCATTTTCACAGTTGTTGTTATACTTGAGCATATTCCTGCTGTCAATCAATGTCATTGGAGGTCTTGCTTCTTTTTTGCTATCCCTCCACTTTACCAAGCATAATGCCCTTCTCCAGAGACTGGTCCCTTCTGATAATATGTTCAAAGTATGAGAGATGAAGTCTCACCATCCTGGTTTCTAAAGAATATTCTGGCTGCATTTCTTCCAAGAAAGGTTTGTTAGTTTTTCTAGCAGTCCATGGTACTTTTAATATTCTTCTCTAATAACCTAACTCAAATATTCAAGAGCAAAGATGTCAGCTTGAGGACTAAGGTAAGCCTGACCCAAGCCATGGTATTTTCAATCGTTTCATATGCAGGTGAAAGTTCGCCAATGAATAAGGAAATCTAGAAAAATTGATGTATTTGAGTTATGGGGTTGGAGAAGAATTTTAAAAGTACCATGGACTGCCAGAACAAACAACAAAGTATGTTGGAATAAGCAAAGTCAGAATGCTGCGTAGAACTCAGTATGGTGAGACTTTGCCTCTCAGTTTTCAGACATGTTATCAGGAGGGACTAGTCCCTGGAGAAGGACATCATAATTGATGTAAAGTGGTTGTTGTTGTTGTTAAGTGCTGTTGAGTCGATTCTGATCCATAGCAACCCTGTATAGGGTTTCCAAGAAACAGCTGTTGAATTTGAACCACCAACCTTGCAGTTCAAATTACTTTGGAGTCTGACGCATTAGCCCATAGCACCACAAAAGAGGAAGACGCCAATGAGATGGTCTAACACAGTTGGAGCAGCAATGGGCTCAAGTATAACAACAACTGTGAGTATGGTGCAGGACCAGCCAGTCTTTCGTTCTGTTGTGCCTAAGGTCATGATGAGTTGGAAGACTCAACAGCACCTAACAACAGCGAGCATTTGCTGATCAACGTATCTGACATTCCCAAATCAGAACATCTCTGCCTTTTCATCACCTAAGGAGTTCTGGTAGCGTAGTGGTTACGAATCGGGCTGCAAACCGCAAGGTCAGCAGTTTGAAACTACCAGCTGCTCCGTGGGAGAAAGATGAGGCTTTCTGCTCCCGTTAAGATTTACAGACTCGGAAACCCTGTACAGGGTCGCTATGAGTCGGAACCGACTCCACGGCACATAACAACAACAACAACACCAGAATATTATTGAGATATCAAATTCTATCTTGTTATGAATTTTGCTCACTATTGCTCAAGTTAATCTTTTCATTGACATTTTGCTCCAATACCTAAATCTGTGAAGCACTGTCTGAATGCTAACAGAATGAATCATCAATATGACATTGGCCTACAATGGTTTGGTTACTATGTCTGTCTTTCCTACAATATTATAAACTCCTTACTTGCAAGGACCATTCATCTAATTTTTAGTAGCATGGTGATGGGAGGGGGGGATATGTATTGCTGACTGTCTAACCCATTAAAATTTTTTAAAAATACAAATATTGCTAAATTTTTATCACATTGGTGGTGGTGGTGGTAGTGGTGTGTTTTGGAGTCATTTCCGACTCATACAGACCCTGCAAAGGCTGTAAATCTTTACAGGAGCAGAAAGCCTCATCTTTCTCCTGCAGAACAACTGGTAGTTTCAAACTGATGACCTTGAGGTTAGCAGCCCCACTCGTAACCACTACACTACCAGAGATCCTTTCTCATCACATTGTTGTTGTTGTTGTTATGTGCTGTCGAGTCGGTTCCGACCCATAGCGACCCTGCACAGGGTTTCCGAGGGTGTAAATCTTTACGGGAGTAGAATGCCTCATCTTTCTCCCGCGGAGCAGCTGGTAGTTTCGAACCGCTGACCTTAAGGTTCGCAGCCCGATTCGTAACCACTACGCTACCAGATTTAGACGGTACTAAAGAGAGTGGTAGAAAATGTGGAACTCAAAACTCAAAATCATTAATTAATTAATTAAACAGGCTTACTTGATTAGCTAGAGACTGTTGGAATCCGAGACTATGGCCCTTGGTCACCCTTTACATCTGGAACCGAATATTCCCCTGTGACTCAATTTTCAGCCAAGCAAAAGATGAGTGGGTGGGTGGGAGTAGGAGGCTAACACTAGTGAGTACACACACCATAGAATGGTTTACCATTTAAGATCCAAAGGGCATCATCTACATATGGACAAAGTTCAGAAAGGATGGGAAAGGAGGAGGCATGGAAACAAGAAACAGGGAGGAAGTGGGATAACTGATGTTACATCGAGGAGATTACCATCTCTGAGATGAAATCAAGAAGTGTATGATTTGTTGAATGCAAAACTGATGATCTGCTCCATAAAACCTTCACTCAACTCACAATAAAAAGCTAAAAAAGAGGCACACACAAACACACACATACACAAATATCCCTAAATTCTTGAACTACAGAAATTCCATAGCATGAGATAGTTTTCTTTTCTCCTATTCCATAGATATGGTTCTGCAATACATCATATGTTAATACTTCTTTCACTTACAGGCATGGAAAATGATGCAGACAGCTTGGCACAGCCAACTATGCCTATAAAGACCTTTCGTGGCGTTCCCAAAGAATATTTTGAACCGTTTCCCTTTTCTGCCATAGAAGGTTGGACGACAGCCACCTTAACGGTGAAAACGGAGTGTCCTAAAGAAAGTGTTTCGAATCTCCGTGTGAATAATGCTACCATGGGGTACCTGAGCAGCTCCTTAAGCACCAAACTGATACCAGCCATTTATATTTTGGTTTTTGTGGTTGGCGTGTCCGCCAACGCAGTGACCCTTTGGATGCTGATCTTCAGAACCAGATCCATCTGTATGGCTGTCTTCTACACCAACCTGGCCATTGCGGATTTCCTTTTTTGCATCACACTGCCCTTCAAGATAGCTTACCATCTCAATGGGAACAACTGGGTGTTTGGAGAAGTCATGTGTCGGGCCACCACCATCATCTTCTACGGCAACATGTACTGCTCTATTCTACTCCTCGCCTGCATCAGCATCAGCCGGTACCTGGCCATTGTCCACCCTTTCACTTATCGGGGGCTGCCAAAGCGTACCTATGCCTTGCTGACATGTGGATTGGTGTGGGCCACGGTTTTCTTATATATGCTACCTTTTTTCATCCTGCAACAAGAGTACTATCTTGTCCAGCCAGGTATCACCACCTGCCATGATGTCCACAATACATGCGAGTCTTCATCTCCCTTCCAAATCTACTACTTCATTTCCTTGGCATTCTTCGGATTCTTAATTCCATTTCTGATCATCATCTTCTGCTATACAGCCATCATTAGGACACTTAATGCATATGATCATAGATGGTTACGGTCTGTGAAGGCCAGTCTACTCATCCTTGTGATTTTTACCATTTGCTTTGCCCCCAGCAATGTTATACTCATTATTCATCATGCTAACTACTACTACAATAACACTGATGGCTTGTACTTCATTTATCTCATAGCTTTGTGTCTGGGGAGCCTGAATAGTTGTCTAGATCCATTCCTGTATTTTCTCATGTCAAAAATAACAGATCACTCCACTGCTTACCTTACAATGGTAAAATCACCTTAGAGAATGAGGACAGCCATGTGGGAAAATACACATTCTTGGGATAGCACGTGCCTAGTGCAATGAGCTCTATAGCCTACACTTCATGTAAGTATTCTTTAGAGAAAGTGCTTCAAAATCAAGCATCACAACAAAAGTTCTAACCTTTACATACATACATACATACATATATATATATTTAAAGTACTTTATCAGCGATTTTACGACTATAATTCAGGAGAAAAGACTTCCCCACTCTCTTTGTAGCAACTTACACATTTCCGTGAATCTGCTGGTACTTTAACTGTTTACATCTCCAAATGAAATCCTCTTCTAGATCGTTTTTTTTCCCCCTCCTTCCTACTTTTGTGAGTAACGGAGTACTGGTGTGGCACTGTGGATTAATGCACTGACTGCAAAGTTGGTTTGAACCACAAAGGTGGAGGTTCAAGTGCACCAGCTGCTCCTCGGAAACCCTATACAAGGTCACTATGGGTTGGAACTGACTCCACAGCATTTAACAACAACTTTTATGAATAGCATCTGCAGGCTGAAATTTGGGGTCATGTATTATTCTTCTGTCTCCTTTGACTGTCATGCTGGTGACTGCTTCAATCTCTCCATCTTCTTTGTCATGTCTCTCCTTAGGATCCTGTATCCATGCATCACCTTTGCCTTTTTGACACTTTCCTCATTGTCAGCCCGACATTCACGTTATAGACTCATCTTACTGAAGTATCAATTTGAATACATCACTCAAAAGCCACCAGCATGAAATCGCTCACTGACTCTACACTGCTTCTATAACCAACTTTTCGTCTGGCATTCAGGGCTAACTTTGTGACTTCCTGTTAAACTCTGTGTATGATGCATGTACAGGCACATTGCTGACTTTGTTGTGACCTAGATTTCTCCTCCTTCTGCCAATTTAACTAGCAAGCTAATTGTATCATCTTTACCTAAGTTCCGTCCAACTTTTGAAGTCCTTAAAGAACCATTCTTCCCTGATTCTTAAGCTAGAAGTGTCATTTTTGGTAACTGAACTTCTAAAGCACTTTCTTGTATCTTTATTATAGTACTTATATATTGCTCATTTATGACCAAGCAGTAATCTCATGAACACTGGGTGCATAGTAGAGAAGGTATTTATCCTCTCCCATCTTTGAGGTCTGTGGTGACCACAGGTTCAAATCCTTTTGGCCTCTGTGGGTCCTAGCTCCATGTTTTATGCCATCCCAGTACTGAATGGATGAACGAATAAAATCTCAAAGTAACTAACATCATGAAAGTCCATTACAATCATACTGAAAGGGCAAGGTGGTCTGTATTTCATGAGACAGCATCACTTCTGGTTGGGCACGTAAAAAGAAAAGCAAGGAAAACAAAATAAAAATATACTCATAAGGTCATTAAAAAAATTTTTTTAAAATCCCTCTATTATTCCTAGAATATATATAATGCTTTAACAGGGAAAACTACATTTTGTTATTAATGCCCAGTATACGCCTATAGGTAAATAATTATGTTTCCCTTCACTGAAGGATGAGACAGAAAGTGGGGTATCAGTGGTTAAGGGTTGGGTGGTATTAGGAAATAGGAACAAGGTTAAGAAAACCTTTAAGCATTAAGGATTGTGGTGCTGTATTGACATTTATAGTAGGAATTGCATAGAGCAAATACTTTGTAATAACTATGAAAACACTTAAAAGCCTATTTAAATGTGTATTTGTGAATGGACAAGAGTCTTCTTGGTTCTTTCCTGTCTCACTACATCTAGGCAAAAAAAAAAAAAACCCCAAAAAAACTTGCACATGAAAACCCTTAAGTGTGTTGTTGTTCTGTGGATAATGAAAGCCAGGTAAAGACTAAAGTAAGCAACAAAAGCCTCAAATGAGTTTTAAGATGACAAAAATAGTAATATAAATAACTGTGTGTTTTTTTTGGGGGGGGGGTCATTTACCATAATACAGTTTTACTTAGTGGAAAAGACAGCAATATTTGCGTATTAAAAACATACTTAATTTTTTTTTTTTTTATGGAATAAGCAGATAAACAGGGAGCATGGTGACCCCATATGATAAGCACTAGACTGCAAACCAGTTCCAGCCCATCAGCTCTGTGGGAGAAAGAGGAGGTTTTCTTCTTCCATGAAGATTTACAGCCTCAGAAGCCCCATACAGGGTCCCTGTAAATTGGAACTGAGTTGACAGCACTTAACAACAAATAAATGACAAAACAGAATTATTTGTAGAGGGGATATAATTTGTATGCTTTGAGAAAAGCCTTACATTTTAAAATAGCTCACGAGAGCATGTCTTAAGGGAACTTACATAGAAAATATGCTCCACTCTGCCAAATCTATGTCAACATTCCTATCTCGCTTCCATTCCCCCAAGAAACCAAGAATAACACACGACTTTCACAATAACCTTGAATCAAGAATAACACAAGGTGTGGCACTGGGGGTTAATGTGCTGGACTGCAAAGTTGGTGTGAATCACAAGTCTGGGAGTTCAAGCTCACCAGTAGCTTCTCTAAAACCCTACAAGGGTCACTAAGGGCCGGAACCAACTCAATGGCACACAACAACATACTTGAGATATAAGTAATTGGTACTGTTAAAAAGGCCCAAGAATCCATACCAACTTAAATCACTGTTCTCAATCTTTGGCAAACCTGACTCTGCATTCTCCGAGATGCTATTCATTCCAGCCTTTCACGGCTGTGTATTTTGGACACAGTTTTACTTTATACAGACAGTCCCCGTGTTACAAATGAGAACTTTGTAGGTCAGTAGGAAAAGGTGCGTATGGCTTGTATCCAGCCTTTTGTAAAAGAACAGGGGCCCTGGTATCGCTGTAGGGTCAGCCCCAGACTGCTAGCTTCAAGTTTGGCGGTATGAACCCACCAGCCACGCTGTCAGAGAAAGATGAAGCTGCCCAAGCCTGTGAAAATTTACAGTCTTCAAAGCTCTAGAGAAGGTTATTATGACTGGAAATGAACTTGATGGCAAGAGGTTTTGGTTTGGTTAGTGCACAAAAAGGCTGGAATCCTTTCCAATGATTTAAGAGCATCAAGGGATGTATAAAACAACAAGTGAAAATATGAATGAAGAATTTGTTTAGAGTAGGATTTGGTTAACTGCTTCAAAGCAAGGACAAATTTTACAGAACATTAAAGGGCATCTAAGTTTGTAACCAGGGGACTTACTGTACTGAAAAAGTCCTCATTGGACTCACTGTGCATTACTCTCCATAATTATACTAGTAATGTAATTGCTTTTCTTCTATTATTTTCCACAGCCAGACTTTGGAAGGCAAGACACAACCATAACAAATGCAACTAAACATTTTCAGGTATTACTATAGCAGAGATTAAACAACAGCAACAAAAAACCCCCCATAAAGACCCTGCCAAATAAACAATACAATTAGATTTTCCCAGGGAAAAATCTAATTTTCCCAGGAAAAAAGAACAGGTTGGAAAAAAAGTCTTCAAAAGCATTGTGCTGAAAAGGAAAACTATGCTTTAAAAGAGCAATTTAACTAAATGTGATTTGTTACTTGGAATCTTAGTGTTTTATATCTGTTGGCAAATTGCCAATAGGGTCTAAATTCTTAATCTAACCAAAAGTTAAATGGGATACATGTTCATGTAACCACAACCACTTTTGGTTACATGAGAGTATAACCCATTCTTATGCAACATGGAAGTGAAAGAATGTTTGGTCATTATGCAACTATATTATTTAACAATATATTTATGCACACATATAATGTCTATCATATTTGGAAAACAATAAGTGCTCAATAAATGTTTCTTCTAGCCAAAAAAGATTTCTCCTGTTTCAGATGAGGCAGTTTCTGAGTTCCAAATACCTATGGTGATGCCCACCCCTTTCAGCTTGAGCTACGTCTGGGTATGTGGCAGGCAAAAATAGCTGGGTCCCAGGTACTGTCATTTCTACTATCCTCAGGTGAAAAGTCATGCACACTTCAGCACAATACCCTTCCCAAAGTAGCCAGTATCTATCTGCAGGTCTCTTCAGCCAGGTGAAATCCACTATTCTTGTAGAGAACTGTGGCCGGGTCAGTTCCCAAAAAAGAGAGATGCCAGTCCCACCTAGAACTGCTATCTTCTAACATCTATGATTTGTCTGTCATTCTGCTGTCTGACTACCTAACCAATCATTCCTTATCTTGGAGGCAGTTTCTGTTTTGTTCCCATCCCAACTTTTTTTTGGATTCCAGTCCACAATGATTTCAGACAACTTGGAATCCCACTGTGTAACCTTCGTTTTGACACCCTGAGACCTAATAATCTCTACCGGATTTAACTATTCTTTATGAGAATCCCCACAGTATTTTGAGGGTTGTTGCTGTTGTTGTTGTTACGTGCTGTCGAGTTGGTTCCGACCCATAGTGACCCTGTATAGGGTTTCCGAGGAGCAGCTGGTGAGCTTGAACTGCTGACCTTGCAGTTCAAATGGCTTTGCAGTCTGGCGCATTAACCCACAGCACCACACCAATATACAAATGGTATCAGGGATCCTCCCATCTCTCCCCTTCTTCCCTGCCAAATGCTATGTACTATGCGATGTACTCAATGTGGACTCAGGAAATACCTACTGAATTGAACTCTGTGAAGAGGAACTCACCCACAACTGTGTTTTTAGTTAAAGATGCTGTTGCTTAAGTGTTGTCGAGTTAGTTCTGACTCACAACAACCCTGTGTGGAGTTCCAGAGGCTGTAAATCTTTATGAAAGCAGAAAGCCTAGAACAGTAGAAGTCAGCTCTATACCTGGATTGTCCCTAATATTTGGCACCAAAAAAACCAGCAACTCCATTACTTCCACTCAGATTCATAGGTCATTACCAGGACAAAAAGCTTGTGAGCTTTAAGAAAAATGGTAAAAAAAAAAATCCACTCCACCCAGGCCTGTAAGTGGACAAGAAACGACAAAAACCTTAAGACTTACCCCGAGTTTCCGCGATTTAGCCTGGTACAAAAGATCTTGGTAGTGCTGAGCATAGT